ATATATAGGAATATAGGAAAACAATGTGTGCCATTTGCTCCTGCTTGATGTACATCATGATTTCCTAAATCAGTTGAAATTCAACTGCTGAACCAGCAATTTTGAAGGCTCTGTGTACACAGGAGTTCCCAAATGTGACTTCTACGTACATGATCTACACKTTGTCATTTTTTTCGCCTTAGTTACAAAGTCAGCAAATTGTCCAGCAGGAATGTTTTGGCACCTTCCTATTATCTATGACAACATGTCAAGTGGGGAAAAAGGCATTTGCAAACAAGAGGGAACAGAATGTGGAAAGATGCTATTTTTGGTCTCATTGGGAGGTACTCGGTGTGTTCAGAGAAGGACAAAGTTGTCTCAATTTTATCTTTGGTCAAAGCTTCTTTTTTCCCCTTTCCCAATTAAGGCAAGGTGTTATTGGCCATGCTAAAGAGAACAGACTCACGAAGTCATAAGAAGTAAAGTCACTTTTCAGAATATCAGCCATTAAAATGTAGTGTAAACCCTAGRAAAGTTCTGTTTTGYRGCATGTGCTGTACTGCAGCAAACAAACATTAGTTTGTTTTCTGTATATTACTGCTTGTTTCATTATACTGGTATTTCAGATTCTATTTCAGATGCTTCCTCTTATAAGTAATTGTATGTTATAAGATCCAAAGAAGGGTTTGGAGGAAGGCATTAATTTAGCATCAGAATCAAATGATCACAACTACTTGTTTGCCTTGGAAGACAGCATGGTACAGGGTAAAGTGCATTGGGCTTTTCCCATGTCTACTTGTCACAAAATTATGTAAATCAATTAYTCAAAAAGCATGGTGCTTTCCTAGTTTTCTCATGTTCATCTAATTTCTGATTTTTAGGTGCTGTGTGTATGTCTCTTGTTTAGCAGTTTCTTTTGGACTTTACCTCTTGGATAATTTTTCTGATAAGCTTTCTGAGGTATCGTGTCCTAGTGCCTCTTCAGACCCAACAGGTGAATATGGAGCCATCACACTACCAGGCACTGGGATATCCATGATCCTGCCTATCACCCATCCAGAACACTGGTGCCTCAAGTGATTCTCCTCTTCCTGCTGTAGCTGCTCACCATTTCCTGTCATCTGCTGCTCTATGAACCCACTAAGACTAAATTTGTTTCATTTTCACTCACTGATTTTTGCCTTGCTCAAAATCATCCTTCTTAGGTTGGCGATAGACATCTTGTTACCTTGTTCCCTGCTTTTGCTTCAGTTGCTGCTGCTAAAATATTCCTTTGCCTCCCCCATTTTTTCACACAACCATGGCTTTTTGCAGCCTTCTCCTTGCATTTGCCTTTGGTTCCTTGTTCTTCACCCATGCCTTGTTTTCTCCCTTCTCCTGTATAATTTTCATACCTTAGCCCAGGAATTCTCTCAATTTCTCCATTTATTAAATTATTCTTGCCCATCACTCAGGCTCCTCTAGAGCCAAAGCAGCCCCTCATGGCAATTTTTCATACAAGGTGTCTTCAAATACTCATCTGCACTCCTTGGGGGAGCTGTGAAAGTGACTGTACAATCCCCACATATTTGTAGAGCTCTGGACTGATTGACTAAACAGTCAATAACAAATCAATAGCACAGCTATGACAGCAGTATTTTTGCCTTCTGSAATAGAATTGTTTTGCTTTTAACTTTATTCAGATTGAGATCTAATTCCTTCTAATAAAGTAGTGCAAACCAGAGCATCTACCAAATCCAAAGAAGTGTTCAAATGTGACGTATCATGCTTGGAATGCCTCCCTTGCCTGCATTACTCTCTTGGGATGGGAAATAGGAGAAGGCAGCGAAACAATAAGAGTAATGAATAATCACATACTTAGCAAAATCATTAAGTTTAGAGTCTGAAATTTGTATAACAATCTGGATTTTGCTGCAATTTCATTTCATAGATATTGCCATTGAAAGGCAAATAAAATTGGAAAATATGTACTCCCAGAGAATCTATTATCAGAAACCCTGAAAAAATTATAATAAGTTTTAAGATTTCTAGTTTTTACACAAGACTCAGAGGGACACTGTGTGCTCTGTCTAGTTACAATAAAGACCTGCTGGGCAAATGAAGGTCACTTGAATTTTTTTAAAATTTAAAACTTTGTTTTCTGCTAAATGCCAGGGAAATACACTGAACCCATTATCAACTTTTCCTGGGTTGGACAATCGCARAAGTCCTCTTCATGCTCCTCACTATTGACTCACAAACCACCACATCCCAAGGGACGGCGCACTCTGAAACAAGGAGTGAGTAATCAGGAAAAAGATGTTTCCCCTCTTCAAAGTAGTCACTACAGCGTTCATCCTTCCAAAACTTCCAAGCTACCATTTGTTTGGGTTGTAAATCTTACAGGAAAAATATTGACAATGTTTCTGTAAACACAGTACAATGTAAATGAAATTGTCTAAAATATAGACCAGGTTGTGGAGATTTCTTCCAAGATGGCACAGGGTGAGTTGGTCTCATTTCAGCTGTCTGAGAGCACAGAAACAGCAAAGCCCAGAAAGAACAGTCTGATTATTAGATCTGTCTCAAAATAAAACACTTCTACTCTKCTACAGCTTGGGAAGGGACTTTTTTTAATTCATTCAAAACACCTTTGGAAAGAGTTGATACTATGAAGGAAGCCAACCATTTCAGAAAAGGAATATTTTAGGATGCATCTGAAAAATTACTCACTGGCTCTGACTTCCATTTTGTTTACTGCTGTGGAAAGCTGCAAAATGTAGTTGTAATAAAGCAAACTTTGAAGATAACTGTATTAAAATACCTACTTATCAATGGATATATTCTTACATTCAGCTCAATGAGATGATTTGCTACTGTAAACAATAAAAGTCATTTTACAATGAGACAAAATAATTGATTTATCAAGAAGAAACCATGCAGTGCGATTCTTATGCAATGCATTGCATTTGCTGCATTAATTATTGGAATTATTAGGCATGGGTAGTTTACAGTATTTCTCAATATTTTCAACATTTTACTCTTCGAATACCAAATCCCAACAATCCAAATCTTGCCAGCAAATTGGGGAGCAGAGGACAATCCTCCAGTTACTACTGTGAAGACAAAAAATTGTTTACATTTTATGTAAGCAGAGTGTCTTGTCCTTAGGAGTTCAACATCATCACACCCCCCTGTAGACCACACAAACCATAAACATCTTTGAGTTCCAAACTGCCATTAGATAGCTCTTATTGAACTCTAAGTCAATACTAAACTGGTTAGCTGGCAAGTTCATAATCACCAGAGGTAATATTCACAGTTCAGGAGATGGGGTCAAGCAGGAGCTGGATGTGCATGTGTGATTTCCTACTTTCACGATAAAAAGTGACAGTGTTCAAAACACCCAATATTGATCTTTTAAAAAGGAAATCCTCTCAGCCAGAAGAGACTTTGGATTCACACCACTTGAACCACACCAGCGTTTTTGGTCATAAATGAAAGTTTGGAAATAATTCTACACTTGATACCAGTAACATTTATAACCACTATCACATTCAATAACTCTCTCCAACCTGCACTTGGGTAACAGTCTGGGCAGTGCCAGTTCTCACATTCACGTGRAAAATCAAGAGGTGAAAAATGACARCCRCAAGAAGATGAACAAAAGCCATAACCAAGGCAAAGCCAGACCACGCAATACCCACTGCTGACCCCAGGTTACAGGGAGTGGCCACCACAGGTATGCTGTGAGTTGAGAACATCGGGTCTGAGACACCGTAGCAACTAGAGGCTATGGAGCCAACTTATGAAGAGCTGGTCAGAGAACACCCTCATGGTGCTCTTTCCTGTCAATAAATAAAATACCGAGAGGACATTCAGCATCTTACCTGGAGAAACACATCTTCTACAGAGTGAAGTGGCAGGAACATGGTGCTCATCAACCTTCACTGGGAGCAGTCCTTACCTTCACGGTGGCCACAGCATCCAATGCAGGGATCTTTGCCACACGCCGTCTCCTGCCTCCTCCAGAGTCCTTCACTGATGCAAAGCAGGGCTTCCCATCTCCACGAGCTCGTTCCTCTTCATGGAATCACCAATTCACAGCATCAGTCATGTTGCAAGGGACCATAGCGGGTTGTCTGGTCCAACCAYCCTGCTGTAGGATCATCCTAGAGCACATGGCACAGGATTGTGTCCAGACAGTTCTTGAGTCACTCATGGCGGGATTCCTGCGAGAGAAGCTCCTCAGACTGGGGCTCCTCATGAGGGGCTCTGCGGTGATGGCGAGCAAAGGCTGGTGGTCAGTCAAGGTCATGCCCGGCTCACTCGGCATCACCTTCACACATTCCCCTTCTCTCAGATAAGCACCGCCAGGACGCCAGCGGCCATGGGGAAGCATYTTTCCTCCAAAAAAAACCACTCGGACGGCTCGGAAACGGCGACGGCCGATGGCTTCGTGTCGTTGCGCATCAAAATTCCGGCCGCCGCCTCCACGTGAAGGGCAGGTGGCGGGAGGCCGCCGGCTTTCCTTTCCACGAGCGGGCTGGCGAGCGTGCACCRTGGGCGAAGGGCAGCGGGAGAAGCATCGCCGTGCCCGGCGGGCGAGAGGTGTCCCCGAGCCCCGCCGCGCTGGAGCTCTCCCGGCACTCGGCTCCCTCAGCCATGGCCATGGGCGGCGGGAAGGTGCCGGCAGGGCCGCCMGAGGCCCCGCGCCCGCCTCTCCCCGTGGTGACCTTGGGCGGGCAGCGCGGCCCTCCCCGCCGAGCGCCCGCTCCGGCACCCACCCCTCCCACCCGCCCCTCTATTTTTGTTTTTTTATTATTATTTTTTTTTATTAATTTATTTTGGCCGCGGAAAGAGTTTGAGGCGGGGGGGGCGGGGGGAGGAAGAGGGAGAGGAGGCCGCCGTCAGAGCGGCCCGGGGACTTTCCCGGACGGAGGGCGCCGGGGGGACCCGTCCCGGTGCCGGTCCCGGTCCCCGCCCGGGGCGGGAGGCGGCGTTGGCGGGCGGGGTGTGAGGGGAGGGCGGGGGGCGCCGGCCCCGCCGCCGCGGGGGAGACGCGGCTCCCGGCGCTGTGCGCCCGAGCTGCTGCTGCTGCTGCTGGTTACGCCAGCCCCGCCGCCTGCCTCTCCGCTCTCCTCGCCTCTGATTCTGCGCACAGCCAGCCCCAAAGCCTGTCATTCTGCAAAACACAGTTTACTCAACAGAGAGAGCGAGTGGGGGAGCGGGAGAGGTGGAGAGAGGGAGACGGCGCGGAGGATCCCAGTCCCGCACCCCAGCATGGCTTCGGGGGACCTTTACGAGGTACCGGGAGCCGCGGGGCGGGCGGGCGGCGGGGGGGGCGCCGGCCGGGGAGCCGCCGAGGGCAGCGGGGGCGCGTTCGGAGCCGCTCCGCCGAGCCCTCGTAGTTGCCGAAGAGCGGAGGAAATCGCCGAGGGAAGGGCTGGGGTGGGGGGAAAAGGGCTGGCGTGTGTGCCCGGCGGGGGCAGGGAGGGATGGAGCGGCTCCCCTCCCTTCCCGCTGCCTCTCTCTTTCTCTTTCTCTCTCTACTTTCCATCGGGCTTGATCTTAGCAGGCCTTGCAAGAGGGAAGGAGGAAGGAGTGAAGGAGAGCGAGAGTTAGCGGTAGGATGGGGAGGCGATCGCGGTGTGATGAGCCCGTAGAGTGGAGAAAGTCCAGGTAAAGTCATAGGCGCTCTGGACGTGCTGAATGTGCAGATTAGTGCGAAAAAATGCGCCTTAGCGCTGCCGGGAGGCGCAGGGATGGAGGCGGCTCTGCGCCCGCTGTGCAAAGTGCAGGAGCCGGCGCCAGGTTGCTTCACCTCCTGCCCGGGGTGCTGCGGGGGCGGCGGGGGCGGCGGTCGGGCCGGGCCCCGGTTCCCCGCGGGCCGCAAAGTTTGGCGGGGGCCCCGCTCCGGGCGGCCCGGGGTGCGAGGTGGGGCGGGCGGCGGCCCCCGGCCCCGCAGCCCGGCGTGCGCTGCCCCCCGGCCGCGGCGGCGGCGGCGACAGCGACAGCGGCGGGGCAGCATCGGGCGACGGCCGCCCGGCCGCCGGGTCGGGGGCGGGCAGGCAAAAAGCAGCCGGCGGGCAGCGGGCGARAACCAGCCGAATTTTGACCTCCGGTACCCAGTTCTAATGCCCCAACTGAGAACGAGTCTAGCCGCTCTTGAYATGCCCGAGAAAAAGAAGGGAGAAAGCTGACATGAAAAATAAGACAGACTGGACCTGGATGTTTGAAATATCCAGTTCCAGTAAGTGGAACTAGGGTGGAAGTGTATAATCTGAAAACACCAAGCACGACTGGATGTTCTAGACTTCTTGGTCTGGARCACCTCCTCAGGCTCCACGTTTCCTGGTGAAATGGCCGTTTGTCTTGCAGTTTCTGRAGTGGACAGTTTAAGGGCTTGGACAGAAACCATCACCTTCCAGTTGGAGATGGGCACCGATGATAGGCACTGYTCAACCATCAGGGTGTGCTTGGGTGTGGAACTACTGCTGTGGTTGGTTCGACATGGTTGGATCATGTGTTTGATGATCTTGATGATCAGCTGTAGGGTCTCAAGTGCAAGAAGTGGAGGATCTGACAGGTTTCACGTAGACGGTTTTCACTTTGTCACTGTCTTTCAAAGTCTTTAGCAGAGGTCATAGCTAAGGGATGACATTGGATGGTATTTTACTGTGTGTGACACAGACCCCTCTGAAGTGAACAGCACTTAAACTCTCCTRTGAAGTGTTAAATTATCAGAAGTACATGATGATCTGAATAGTGTCATTGACCTTTCCCCCCTCATTTTGTGGTATCTGTCATTTAACTTTGTAATTTTAAGGATATTGTATGTCAGCTGTATTGCTGTTTTTACTCTAGAATAGTCAGTGGGAGTTCTGTGAAGAGCAACTTTGACCCAAAAAAGTTAGCAATACAATTTTAGTATTAGTGGTTACTGGGATGAATATAAGACCTTTGCCAGGTGTGTCTGAGTTTTGTTGAGATGTCTGGATTAGTTCTAGAAAGAAATAAAGCTAGTATGTCTTGGGCTAATGGTAGCCACACTGCTTTAGCTCTGACTCATGGTTAAAAAATTCTGCAGTTTTATGATCTTGGTGTTGTAAGATGATGACGTTTGGTAGTTGRATGTGGCTGTGTCACTGTGTGACCTCGAGAGAGGTTGCTCGAGTCACCTGGTGTGTTCTGTGAGGGAACAGACTCAYAGCCCAATTTGCAGGCGCTGTTAGGCCCAGTCTCTTTGCAGCATTTGCACTGATGAATGTTTTTGGTACTATGGTTCAAAGACTCTGAATCACTTCCTTTTTTTGTTACTCCATTCAAAATACTTTTGCTTATCATTGTACAATATGGAAGAATTGTCTCCAGTAGAACARGTAGGTGGAAGAAGTGTGGCTGTTCCTTTCTTGTTGTGTGAGGTGTTTGGAAAATAGTTTCAACTAATCATGATGTAAAATCTTCATCTATGTGCTGGACATGTGGCAAAAAGTATGTTCAGGTCTTCAGTTTTCAATCCCTCTGCATTTTGCATCTTCACTGGGAAGTTCTCCATAATAGGTGTCAGAAGAAATGTCTAAAAATCTGAAGAGTTTGTATGCCTGAATAAATAGCAGTTGTGTAAATGGTGGTGGCTTCATTTAAAGATGACTCAGATTTGTGTCCCTGCTTTTTCCCCTTCCCAAAAATCCAAGATAATMAAAGGAATTTATTAGAAAGAAGCTCTTAGATCAGGGATGTGCCAAACCAGTTTGCACTTGAGATGAAGTGCTTTGTGCTTTTGGAACAGACCAAGTTCTTGAACAAGAAAAACACTATGTGGAACACAGGATGACCATAAAACAGTATCAGGATTTTACCTTGAAATTATTTGAGGCTGTGGGTGTAAATAAACGATTTGGGTCTTATGGTGCCATTCCAAAGGTATGGTGCACTCATGATTTCCCTTTGAGTACTCAGACTATACAAATCCTTCAAGGATTCTTACTGAAATTCATCAAAGAATACAATAATTAACTCTGCAATTTGGATAATTTAATACTGGCTGCAAAATTATGTTAAAGCCAATCACGATATAGAAGCCACGATAGAAGAAGTATAGTGTCCATATTACCTATATGAACTCGTCATATTTTGGTGGCACCCAAGAAACTTTTATAAATTTTGAAGTTTTGTAAATAGATGTGCATATTTATCCTGTCAGTTCATTCATTTTCTACTACCGTGTTATTTTAAAAGTCTTTTCAACCTTTTCAACTTAAAAAGAAATTCAATTACTGTCTTTATATTGAAGCAAAATAAGATCATAGACAAAATAACCCTTGTGTTTGGTTAGCAAGGTGCCTTTTACTAGTTAGAAATGGCTTTTGATCATCTAAAATACCTCCTATTACATTTGGGTTAGGGCTGTCTGATTTAATTCTAGAAGTCAAAAAACACCCATTAGGAGTTCTGTGTTAACTGGCAGWCAGTTCTAGACCTGTGTATTAGAACCAAGACACTTTACAGTTAGTTATTYCATTATATGGTAAAAGGTAGGTGTTAGTTTTGACTTTTTAAAGTACATTTCTTTTCCTTTAACATTRAGGAATGTTGTCTATATTTCGTGTAATTCTCAGGCTATATGAAAAACTGATTTTGCTTGACTTCCATGTGCTTATGACTTCAAGCTTTTATGAGTGGTGCAAGTGTCATGGAATATTCCTTTTTTYCCCCCTTGCTTTTCCTCTTAAGAGGTAACCTGTTAAATATTTAAGACTTATGGTGCATGTTCCCTTAGAAATAATATGAAAATAAAGGACTGACGAAATGGGTTTTCAGAGTAGCCTTCAGTAAGGCAGCCCTTGTTTGCCTTGTGTTTCACAATACACTGTTGGGTGCATTGACAGGAAATCCTAGTTCATTTCGGGAACAGATAGAAAGGGAAATGTATTTACTCTTAAATATCAAGTTTGTTGATTCACATTAAAGTTGTCAGTAACTTGAAGTAACGTTTTTCTTTTTGCATGTACAATTTGTTACATTATCTGAAGCCAGACAGTTATCTCAGACACTCTGGTATTATAAGTGTATGAGATGGCTYTAGAGGGGAAAAATTCCATATCAACACTGCACCTACCTTTTTTTCCTAGCCCAGAGCTCCATGTTTACTGCAATAAAACACCCTTTATTGATAAATATGTGAATCAGTTATCAGTATCACAGAGATGTTCTTGAAACTCATCCAATGCTTTTTTTTAATTTAATATTTTGGGGGGTTGTATGCAATGAACACTATTAYAATTTCAGGGATGATGATGGTGCAACCTAAAGTGTTATTTTACCGTTGTGTCAGGTTGTATTACAACACCTTTGGTAAGTGATCTAAAGATTACAGCCAAATCTCTAAGAGGACTTAACGTGTGTGTGTTTCTGTTTCTGGATCACAATAATAATAAAACCAGTATTTAAAGCTCAACAGTTATTGCATTAAATGGAAAAAGTGACATTTTTTTGAAAAGGCATCTTCTCACTGAATTGTTGCAATGTTCGTGGACAGGAGCATGTCCCTCTCACTGACACGTTTTGATTCAATCTTTGTCTATGCAGCAGTGTATGAATGAGCTGCAGTTYATTTCAGCTCACATGATCCACCAGAAAGATAATGTACTTCCAGATAATTGCAACATTTCCYATTTATGCCTGCACTCAGGTATCAGCAAAGTCAAAACTTGAAGATAATAATGGCACTTGTTTGGGCTGCTGAATCCATATGACATGTGGAGACATGCAGATGGGAGAGAACAGGGTTGAACTTTTGGATGCAAGGTTTGGCTTGAGATGCAGGGTTTAGAAAATCATCTTTGCTTTACAAGGAAATGCAAGTTTTTGAGCACTGTGCTTTCCATCTTGCATCTCTTTCAATGGAGTCACATTTTAGCAGAGATACATAYGTAAATCTGCTTATTGAACTGAAAAGCAGAAATCTTTTTTTTAATTATTTCACGTGTATTTTCTAAGACAGAGGTGACTTGGAAGAAGATGGTGTATTTTAGTAAAGGTTATTATTTCTCAAATCAACCTCTGTATTGGCACAACTTGTRTCAAAGCAGAAATCAGGGGCTTGAAGTAGGATCTGGGGAATATAGAACAGTTAAACACCTGCTTCTGTACCCTGGCAAGCTGTGGATGCAATGCTGATTTCARTAACACTGGGCTGGCACTCACCAGCTCTAAGATGTGGACATCTGTAAATAATACCTTTTAAAWTTTTTTAGTGGTAAAGTTTTACTAACAACTATTTTGAAYAATCATCTATTTATCAA